GAAAGTGTTTGTCCATGGCCTATACCCTGGTGCAGGGTGAAAAAGGCAATGATGATGACGAAAATGCAGTTATCATTTCAGAACATGCATTTCTTTTATATGAGATACCACATGATGCAGACATTTGCAACATCTAAAAGGCAACAGAATCTTTTATACAAGGAGTAAACATTTTTAAAAACACAGTAGTACACATAAACAAGTTTAATCTGAGAAAGATCACTTCTGCTGCCGTCAACAGTGGGTAAGAAAGGCAGGTGGCATATTATGTACATCAGCAAGGAGGATAACTGATCGATAATACACCCTACATAACGAGGAGGACTGATTTCCATCCCTTGACAGAAGTGTCGTCACTCATCACCCCCACTTCAAGTGAAGACTACTCAGTCCTAGAACTGCAAATAACAGGTTACACTTTTACATAAAGGAGTAAAGGAATGAATCTGAGAAAGGGGGGAAAGGAGCAGAGTGTTGGACTTCTTAGAAGTTGTTAATAAAAGTCTGTCGAATGTCAAAGAAAAGTTGGGTTTTACTTTCGGCCTTACACTGTACTTTTCTCAGACCTGCCAACCTCCCCATGACCAAAAATACAAGTTTTCCTCAGAATCTTCCCTGAAAACTGGAGTTTGGAGGGAAAAAAATGGGAGTCTCCAGAAACCCAATAGATAAACCATGGTAAATAAGTGTGTATTGTAAATGTACGCAGTTAAAGATTTATATTATATCATATTCACGTCATTTCTGTAAGTTGCGAAAATATTTCTAATAAACTTGTGAGTTTTCACATCGTTACCACAAGTCGTGCAAATATTCCAAATAAACCTGTGTCTTTCACGTCATTTATGACAAGTCGTATATGACCAATGGAAACTGAATTTTTTTTTAAAACACGCGTTTTATGCAAATCCAGCCAGGGACTTCAGGGGGCTGGAATCAAAGTGCTCCGATTTTATAGCAGTACTTGACAGGTCTGTTAACTGATACAGATGTTTACTGCACAAAGAAAACAAAAGGCAATAAAGAAAGTGCAGTACTTAAACTTTTCAAGAACCTGCAGGAATAAGCTGAAAGTTCAGTAAGTTACAACAGCATTTTCAGCATTCGATCACATTCTCCATTGAATTTCCCATATACATTGTAATATTCATTATTTACACTCACTCTTTCAAAGCTAAAATGACAAAACACTTAAACACACACACACACACACACACACACACACACACACACACACAGACACACACAAACGCGCGCACGCACTCACACACACACAAATGTGTGTGTATTTGAGTGGTATGCAAATGCGTGGGTGAGCGTATGTGAGTGTTTACAAGTGGAGACACCAATCAACAAATCTTTACATATAATTTAAATACTATGCTAAAGATTTATTCACTGGGCCTTCTTTCTGAGACTTTATTATTAGGAATGCTTTCAGTAGGGGAAAACACCATGGAAATGGAGCACTGGTCTCAGTACACACTTCCTTGTAACAACAGAGACGGGGGAGGTCAACATTGATGGCTTCACTTTCAAGAGGGGGGGGGTGGCACGTTAATACCCCAACAACAGTATACTCTCAAACATAAGACAGTGATATGAGCGCCAAGGGGAGGGTGTCAACAGAGAAGTCTTTACAGGGAATCAGACTTAGACTGCTCAACTCTCTAGCTTCAACAGCACAAGATCTGCTTCGACTATCAAGGCACCCCAAAATAGCAGGTCACAAGAGAGTGACAAACATACAAAAGAAGGAGAGGAAAATGACAATAGTAAGGATCAGGAAAGAAAAAGCAGCAGTTCCCTGTTGTAGATCAGGCACAGTTATGAGCGTGACATGAGTCAGCCCATTTACAATTCTACTGTGCTTGAACGAGAAATATCCCCCCTTTGGGAATGGCCTAAAGACACTAGTCAGTGGCACTGCCCCGGGGGGAAGGAGATGAGCTGTGAAAGGAGAGCTGTGCAATTGAAAATGAGTGCAACAATTGCCTTTGTTTAAATTTGTTTTTCCACATGCACGAATATATTCTATTTCTGAATAAACAAAAGCACACAATTTTTAACAAAATCTTCAAGAAAAAACAAACTGTAATCAAGCTAGAAATGTCTATACACCCCAAAAAACTAAATGAATAACTAGAAGTTGTAAAAGTGTAGACATTAGTAAAAGTTTTCCCATGAAGAATTCAACAAACCCATATGAACAAAAGTAAACCTATGTGTAAATAATTTTGACACCTCATGTACACAAGGAATTAGAAATCTACAGTCACCCTTGATTCCTAGCACCGTGTATGAAATTTTTTAAATTGTAAACACATGTTTTGGATATAAAATAGCTCATTCTAACAATCCGGTATTCCCATTCAGAACATTAAATTAAATAGAAAAACTATCAGCAAACTAAAATCTTGATCGCTTTTTGAGCATTCCAACAGCTAGATCTAAGTGAAAAGCAAAAACTTTTCATACTCAGGTAAAAAAAAAAAAACAGCACAAGTGTTTAAATCTGACTAAATATGGATTTTGTCTACATTAGCAATCAGAGGGCACATACAAAAATGCAAAGAAACACTGTGAATATAAAAAAAATCTAAAGCACAGCCTAATATAGACATGATAGTCTTTTTAAAAAAATTGTTTTAGCAAGCGTTATATGGCACTTGCAACATAATACTTGTATAAGTGCTGAAGATTAGAGGTGCTACAAGAGAGTAACAAACACACAAAAAAGAACAGGGCAGAGATAAGGACAATAGATGTTTGATAAGAAAGAAGGAGCAAACAACATCAGAGCATCCGTCAATCACCCACGATGATAGTCAGCTATTTTAACCCAATGAGCAATTCTACCAAAGCAATGATTCTTTTTATATTCGCATTTCATCATGCTGTCAAAAATGCAAAAACTCGGAACAAACTCATGGGAGTGTAAAAGATTGTCTAATAAACTCACATATACATTAGTAGGCCTACATGTAATCAGATTGCACACTGGAAATGAAAAGAAACCCATTGTACTAGAGCACAAGAATCTAAAGCAGAGCCTATGACACTTTTGATAGGTTATTAAAATCCAATACCCAATCCAATCAAAGCAATGATTCTCTTCATATTCCCATTTCATAATGCTGCCTGAAATCCAAAACTTGTGAACAAACTCACAGGAGTGATGCATATGATGTACATTAGGAAAAGATTGTCAAGAAAACACACATATATTAATAACTATTAGGAAAAGATTGTCAAGAAAACACACGTATATATAACTAATCACACAGCAAACCAAAAAAGTAAAAAAACAACTTTGCACTAGAGCATAAAATTCTGAAGGCAAGCCTACGACAAAGTTGTACATGTAGGTTGTTATTCAAGCCCAATAACTAATCCTATAAACAAAACACATCTGAAAACTTTAAAATGCTTAATTCCCCCAAAGCAATAATCTAGACTGTAAACGCATCTGAACAAAATCAAAACTCATCACATCACTTTCCCATTGAAAGCAGGAATATAGAACCCCTTACATGTGTAATTAAGTCTATAATATACTCAGATAATATGTAATATAATTACAGACCCATAACACATCTGTAGAAAAAGTCTGACCCTTGAGCACATCAGCTGCACATGAAGATTCATACAAACATCAATGACAAAAAAAGATGCAACAGCAATTTACAACACAGAATGGCACCAAAAAAGTATTTCAAATCTCAAACAATTACTAAGGACCATGATATCAAAGAAACTAAATTTCTTAGGTGAAAACAGGACTATTTCCCACTCCTCCTACACATTTATTTCTTCTTGATCATAATGACATTATCCAAAAAGTCCACGTAAGACAACCACAAGTGTTTAAATCTGACTAAATATGGATTTTGTCTACATTAGCAATCAGAGGGCACATACAAAAATGCAAAGAAACACTGTGAATATAAAAAAATCTAAAGCAGAGCCTAATATAGACATGATAGTCTTTTTTTAAAAATTGTTTTAGCAAGCGTTTTATGACACTTGCAACATAATACTTGTATAAGTGCTGAAGATTAGAAGTGTTACACGAGAGTAACAAACACTCAAAAAAGAACAGGGCAGAGATAAGGACAATAGATGTTTGATAAGAAAGAAGGAGCAAACAACATCAGAGCATCCGTCAATCACCCACGATGATAGTCAGCTATTTAAACTCAAAGAGCAATTCTATCAAAGCAATGATTCTTTTTATATTCGCATTTCATCATGCTGTCAAAAATGCAAAAATTTGGAACAAACTCATGGGAGTGTAAAAGATTGTCTAATAAACTCACATATACATTAGTAGGCCTACATGTAATCAGATTGCACACTGGAAATGAAAAGAAACTCATTGTACTAGAGCACAAGAATCTAAAGCAGAGCCTATGACACTTTTGATGGCAAAAAAAAGACGCAACAGCAAATTACAACACAGAATGGCACCAAAAAAGTCTTTCAAATCTCAAACAATTACTAGGGACCATGATATCAAAGAAACTTAAATTTCTTAGGTGAAAACAAGAACTCCTAAGATGAGATTCAAGCCCAATATTCAGACACATTTTCAAAGAAAATTCTATATCCAAATTTGGCGGTAGACAACAGTTACTTACATAATACAAAGTAACTTTCAAACCACACTACAAAAATCGTTACGATAAAAAATTTAAAGTGTTAATATTCATTTAAAATCCGATTGTATGTGACTATGTACCTGACATCAATTAAAATTTGTATAATTAGTTTTAACTTTTGAATGCCTTGAAATAAATGGTGTAACTCCATCAATTCCATAGAACTGAAAGAACATAACTTGGAAGACACAGAACTTGTAAATGTTGTCTTGCAGCCTTTATACCAATCTCAAGACTTTTCAATATACGGTCACACCTGCTTTACCGGCCACTTGTCTAAGACAATCGCCTGTACAAATGACCATTTCCCACTCCTCCCACACATTTATTTCTTCTTTATCATAATGACATTATCCAAGAAGTCCACCTAAGACAACCACTTTTCAACAGGTGGCCGTTATGGACAATTTGGACATGTAGATATTATCCAAATCCAATCCAAAAAAAGCGCAAGAACAGCATCCACTGTTAACAAAAACTATCAAAGAGCACATGACATTCACCTGAAGCAGTCACCACAGTAACAGGGAGACTTTATCAGTAGAACATCTGACACGACTCTACCTTTCTGTCAACAAATAACATTCGCCCTACTCAAGAAGGGTCAGTCACAAAAGATATAGGGAATGACTAAAGAAAGCTTAAATCGGAACTTTTGATTGACTTAGCACAGAAGCAGAGGAAAAAACCTCTCTTGTCTGTCGTCATCTAAAAGAAAAGTTATATTGGTATATCAGACTAAAAGTTGGTATTATTTTAAATGTTTACTTCACATAAGCCACAAAAATAGACTACAAATAAGTACAAGAAGCAAAAAGAGTAAAATTAGCTCCCTTCCAAAATTTCATTGACTTTGAGGAGAAAAAAAATCCCTCTGAGGAACAGAGGTATAAAAGCAAGGCTGCGACACACACATCCACCTCTACTGTGGCCCGACCATCTGGTCAGCCCTGACCCAAAGGTCAAACTGCTCAGAGGTCAGCAAGCCCAGCTTCAGAGCAGACTCCTTCAAAGTAGAGCCCTCTTTATGCGCCAGCTTGGCAATCTTAGTGGCATTATCGTAACCTATATGAGGATTGAGGGCCGTCACCAGCATCAATGACTCGTCACGGAGTGAGTTGATTCGGTCCACATTGGCCACGATACCCACAACGCAGTTGTTAGTGAAAGATACACAGGCATCTGCCAAAAGGCGAATCGACTTGAGCACGTTGCTGACAATCATGGGTTTGAAGACGTTCAGCTCAAAGTGACCCATGCTCCCGCCCACAGAGACTGCTGTCTGGTTCCCCATCACTTGAGCAGCCACCATAGTCAGCGCCTCGCACTGGGTGGGATTCACCTTGCCTGAAAGACAACAATAATATAATATAGATGAGGTGAGGAAAGATGGAAATACCAGAAATAAATTAACAGAAAATTTTGAGTGTCCGCAATGCTGACTGAGTTTGTTTTTGTTTTGTTTTTTAAGTTGGTCTTTTTACGCCTCCATCAACACAATTTGGATCACTTAGGAGGCAGGCTTCCCCAGGCTGAGATGGATACAACATCCCAGCAGAAAGACCGATACATTATACTCAATAAAAATTCTCCTCTCTCCGGAATCAAACTTGGGTTTCCTGCATACAACAGTGAAGACCCTAACCACTACACCCCAGATGCCAGACATTTTTATACTTTCCATTTTCCTTCTTTGCATAAGAATATTGAAACTAAGATATTCAAAGTGCAGTCGAAATTGTCTAAGACAGCCACCTATGGTCCAGGAGAAAAATGGCTGTAATAAACAGGCGACCGTCTTACAAACCATCATTATAATGAAAAAAATATGCAAGGGAGGAAATGAGAAGTGTTCAGGAGATGGTCTTATACAGGTGATCATTGGAGCAGGATCAATCATATTAATGCTAAAGTTGTACTGAATAAGGAAAACAATAAATACTATCTTAGATTAACTCACAAAGTCCCTGATTTAATCAAAGAGAGAAATTTTTAAAAAAAGGAATAAGAGCATCCTCACCGGGCATGATACTACTGCCAGGCTCATTTTCCGGCAGCCCCAGCTCCCCGAGACCACAGCGAGGACCAGAGCCAAGCATTCGAATGTCGTTGGAGATCTTCATGAGGCTACACGCAATCACATTCAAGGCACCGTGGACTTCTACCATAGCATCGTGGGCTGCTAAAGACTCAAACTTGTTCTTTGCTGAGACAAAAGGGAGACCTGAGAAGACACCAAGGATAGAGATAAGTTTCCCACACAAAAGGATATTTTTTTTAAACCCAGGCTTGATGGTGACATCCATTGAAATTTATTAAAAAACAGGGTGCTGTACAAAGCTAATCAGCAATAGCATGGTTGTAAAATTATCTGTATGGGTGCAATATTGAGAACCATGTGACACTGGTGTTACCTCTGAATTACTTTATTTATGCATGGAGCTTGCCATGGTCACCCAAATTTACCCAAAGGCATCAACAACACTGGTACTTTTATCTAAAAATAAGCATAGAATATGTCAAGAATATGACGAAGAAGCCAATAAAACGATATTACCTGTGTACTGGGCAATCTTGTCAGCTACCTTTTCAGCAAAGCCAATTCTGGTATTGAGCCCAGTTCCAACAGCGGTGCCTCCTACAAAACACAGACAGACATGATTACATAGTAGACAAATGACAGACAAATTACAGAGCAAAAAAAAAACTCGAAGAGACTAATAATAAAACACTATACAAAGCACAGAAAGATGTTAAATTGCAGGGAAAAGAGGTAGATAAAATACTTAAAACCCTTTCACCACTGTCTTATGAAGGGTTGAAAAGAAATATTGATGTAACTGATATAGTATTCTCTTCTTCATAAGAAAAAGAAAGATCCTGGACACACCCACACCCACACACACCCATCCACCCCCACCAACACACACATACACAAACACACATATGCACACACATGTGGAATGCATGCACACGCAACAGCACACACATGCATGTGCGCGCGCGCACGCACGCACGCACGCACACACACACACAAAACATCATATCTTATCAAAGGTAGGCAAAACTACCTAGGATTGCTAGTACTTTTTCAGCTTACCTAACGCCAATTCTGAAACTCTAGGAAGTGTGCTTTTCACTCTCTCTATGCCATACCGAACTTGCTGGAGATAGCCACTAAACTCCTGGCCCAGAGTCAGGGGAACAGCATCCTGCAATCAGACAGACGTATTAGCTTATCTATTTCTTGGACGGGTTGGCATTTCATGACAGGAATCAAACAAAATCCACTTTATCTGAAATCAATCAGTCTTGAACATCTATAGCGAACTCTCAAATAATACTTAAATAAACATTTCAATTGGAAAAAAATAATATACATGAAAACTGTATTTCACAGTTATTTACGGAAGACGAAAAAAAATGTAATGTAATATTTGAGAAATCAAGCACTGCACACCGAACTTTTGTCCCTCTGTTGGTTGCCATGTAGACTGTGCATAGATCTGCTTTGATAGTTTTGCTGTTCCATATACTCGTAAGGCATTCAGATTTTTCTGTGATGTTAGGAAAAAAACCCACTCTCTTAAGGCCTTGCAGTCTTTCAAAAAGGAGAAAGTGATATATCACTTTCAAAAGTGAAGTAGCAAGGTAATCAGAGGGTATGCAAAAAAATGAATGATGCAGTTTGATACAATTCAAGCGGAAATTTAGCGGGGTGACAGAGATCAAAGATCGAACACAACCCATAATTATAACCTTGTCAAGTACAAAATCCTTAATCTCTGTAATCATCAAATCATCAGAATATGAACAACATTATCAAGAACAAGAACACACTTGCAAGTGAGTGCGCCCAATCTTGATGATTCCAGAAAACTCCTCTACTTTCTTTTCCAGTGCCGTTTCCAAAGCAGCCATTGCAGGCAGAAGTCTGGAGTTCACTTCAAGAGCAACAGCAACGTGCATTGCAGTTGGAAATGTATCATTGGAACTCTGAAAATGCAGAAAAAAATTGTTACTGTGAATTAATATGTGACACTTTGTTCTGTAATTTCACAATAATATTATGACTCATATAACAAATCACCTACAAGCCCCCCCCATTCAACCCCTTTGCAGTCTTAACCGCAGTCGGGGAATCTTTTACATAACCGTCATGTGTTGTCACATTATCGACCCAAAGGGAGGTCACAAGAAATACTAGAATATCAAGGCAATGAGAAGACTACGTCCCTTCCTCCCTTTGTTAAGGAGGTTCATGTAAACGTACGCTCCGTATAAACACACGCTAAGGAGCCCTCCCGAGCACCGTGTGTTTAGGCGGAGACTACTGTAATGCGTTGACCATAGCGTGGCTTTTCTCCCCATTTATGTGTGTGGGCTTCGACAGGTACCCAGGAAGCATGTTGATAAAGCAGAGTGGGCCAAAAATAAGTTGATATAAGAGAAATTGTTTCAGTGAAGATATTGAATTGGAAAATATGTTGATACAGTCGAACCTGTGTAAGACGGAATCGCAAGGGAGCCCGAAAAAAATTCCGTCTTAGACAGGGGAATTTAGGGGGAGATGGATGTTGGTGGGGGGGGGTTCAAAGGCCCAGCCGGTGAGATCAAGGATTGCTTGTCCGATCGGCAAGCAGTGGTCAAAACTTCACACCTCTCAGCTGCTATCCTGTCTGATAATGACATGTGTCAGTCTTACTTATCCAATTACCACCAGTGCTTGCCTTTCATAGGACTACAGTTTGACCTATTAAAAGCAGAAACGTTTGAACATCTCCTTTGCTTCCACCCTTAGCCCGAACCACCCACCAATGCCACCCCTGACTGCCATGTAACAACGATTCGAGGAACTCTTTTCTCGGCTGGCCGTACGATCAGGGCGGCAGGCATTGGTCAAACTAATTTCACACCTCTGGCTTCTGGCTACCCAAGAAAGTTTCCGTAGTGGCTCCCTACTCGAGCACTCTCACGGGCAGTCGTGAGATTTCACACCCACACTACACTGACCATCTGCATCGCTCAGGGCTCACATGACGGGGTAACATATAACATATACCCCCAAATTGCTCCCCTACCACCCTTCCTCGCCCAGTGGCATGACCATAGCGTTAAGTATAGAGCCGGCGGAACCACACTTGTGAGTTTTGTTTCAAATCTGGGCTGAGCGGGCAAAGCATTTTCCGTCTTAGACAGGTGAAACCCTCGGAAGGGAGCGGATTTTTCTTTCCGTTTCCGCGTCGGACAGGTTTCCGTTTTACACAGGTAATTAAAGAGGAATATATCAAGGGGGGAGCGGGGAGATTCCGTTAAGACAGGTTTCCGTTTTACACAGGTTTCCGTTAAGGCAGGTTCGGCTGTATGTCAAAATATAGGTAAATCGGATGTCGATATAAGTGGATTATACTGTATAAAATTGTAGAACAATTTTTGTTTAATTAAGCTATTCAGAGAAAAAAGTTGTAAACATTTTTTTGGGGTGTGAATAATATATATAAGTTGATTAAAAAAGTTATACACACCCATCGAACCAATTTAGATAATTTAGGAGGCTTGCTATTTCGACTTGGGCTGAGTGGGATACAGTAACCTACCAGAAGATGGAGATGCTTAACAAGAGTGTTTCAGAGTGCATCATGTGCATGCAGCCCAGCCTGTCTGTGGGAGGGTATCCATCAGGACGTCAAAAAAGTGCACATGTGGGTATCACCCTGTGTTTGCAGTTGCATGCTGCTTATGCCTGTGTGTCTGAAAGTCTGATTGTGTGCACATGTCTATACACATATATATATTATAAATATGTCTGAGTGTTTGTGAGTCAGCATATATGCTCAAGTATTTGAGTGCTCATGAGCCTCTAGGTGGACATGTGTCTGTGTATCTGTTAAAAGTGTTTGCACTATAATCACAAAAGTGCTGTGTGTCTCTGTGCATGTGTCTACATACAATGGACTCACCGAGTGAAATAGATGAGGGGCTCCTGAAGGGTCTCCGACACGCTGACCCCGGTCACATTCCCATACCAGACTGTGTGGTCGCCTACGCCGTGGTAGGTGTGAGAGTCACAAAGCAGCACGGCCAGCGAGCCCAGGATGATGGGTAATCCCTGACACCCACAGATGACAGGTTGGTAAACAGCACATAATCAACAGCCAATTAGAACACACACACACACATACTAGATCAAACCCAACAGATCTAACAGTAAGCCAGAACACAAATTCACATATTAACACAGGCTTGTTCTACAAAACATTTGCAGTAAAACTACAAAGAACTCAATGGACACCATCCAAAACCAAGCTCTTCGTCTTATCTCTGGCGGAATGAGATCCTCACCGACTGCGGCCTGTGA